CATAATATTATTCACGACGTGATGATAAAAGTGATCATTTCTAATGAGTATCCCTAAAGAACATCAATAAATTCAACCTCTCGTCCCACCTGAACATCCACTGAACTTAGCAGCCCTGATTGTCCCCGTTTGTGTCTGAGAAAATAACATTTCGCTTCAGTGTACGAGCCCTTTTAATGTCTGCGAGTTTTCTTACGACTTTCTATTCAGGCAGTGTGTTCACGAGGTCCAATTTTTCTCCGCTCCTGACGTGGAAACAGAAGCATCAGTGTTTTCCTATCAGAGGCAACATATCAGGATCAACAGTGAAACCAGTGGTGATTTTCACCCTTAAAACAAATAATTGTTTGGTCAGTAAAAGATGAGCAAATACACAATCCCCATCATTGTTACTTTCACAAACTTTCATATATTCAGTTAATCCTGTAATAAAAATATTTAAGAAATTTGAGCAAAAGCATGATGGTAGTTTTTTGGTTGTATAGAGAATTAAGACCTAAAGTTATAACAGGGCAGTGCAGTGAAGCTAAAGAAAGAAAGAAAGAAAGGCGTGTCCAGGTTGGGTAACAAACAGACCATATAAAAGATGGACAAAGCTTTAAACCTGCATTCTTGCTGATGGCCAGCAGAGGGCGACTCCTGTAGTTATAAAAACAGGTGGAGTTGCATGGAAAATGTCCCTCAACTCGACTCCTCTGTGATCTCACTTTCCCGATTAGATTATGGGCTCAATCACATTTTTTTCACTTTTATTCAACACAACAAGATGCCTTTTAAATTTTTTGTAAATTATGAATTATTAAAGTCACAAAGGGGGACCAGTCCGAGTATGTCCAGTGTTGGTTTCACAGCGAGATCCACACCCCTTCTGTGACATCTGGTTTCAAACAACTAAAATAGCAAAGGTTGAAAATATCTTCAGGCTTCAAATCAGAACTTCACTCACTAGTGGCAAAGTCCATCTGTTATATACAGTCTATTTAATAAGTACATAGCACAGTGTTATGTGTCGCTAAATATTAGCTTCTGAACGAAAACAGGACTTCTTCCAGGTTTAATTTTTGCAGTAATGTCACTGAACTCATGTTTCAATATTAATTACAGTCAGTGCTGTCAAAAGAAAAATGTAGTATAACAAAAGTAGTGTTTGTTTAAAGTTTGTTTATAGATTTTTCTATAAAAGGCCGGCTCTGCTGAGAAGGTTCTAGGACCACTCACCAAAACGACGAACTGATTATTAAGCAGTTCGTTCAGTTAAAGGTTTTAGCTCTTGCATAAATGTCCATAAGCTGTACACGAACTTTGAAGATCAAAGTGAATTTCACGCCCTTCTCAAAGCCAAACTGCATGTGACTGAACCTGAAAAGGTCACTCGTAATACTTTAATCTTCTCATTTTGGTAACTTTTAACTTGTCCGGGTCTGACGTCCCTCTGCTGGATCCCCAACACCAGTGACCACCAGCCCTCAGCCCTGCAACAGGCCAGCGTCCCTAGTGCAAAGAAAAGGTTGCATAAAGTTCCATTGCTACCACGGACATCATCCTCACCATCATCGGCAACATTAATCCCTGAACACACCGCTCTACAATCCTCATAGACTTCATATTACTGCATACTACTGAGTGGTTTTGGTGTACAAGATGCAACATGTCAAAGTCTGAAGTGTCTGAATGGCATCAGAGAATCTGCACCAGTGTTTCCCTCTGCTTAAAAAACAGTGCGTTTCATTTTTCGGGGCTTTTTTGGCCCCTGATCGTGTAAACAGGAGGAAACACTGATCCAACATGAAACATTTTCAACATCAATGATCTACATTCATTTCCAGGCAGAAAAGAAAACACTTTCAATACATTAACAACAAACCAAAAGGTATTTTTATTTATTACTTCGCGTCTGCCGACAGAATGAGGCTGATGTGAGCACAACAGACAGACGGGCAGGGTATCGGCACACACGCCCAAACCGTCGAGCTTTCATTTGTCCCAATGTTTACCTTTCACATATTATCTAAATGTTTCTGCTCTCCAAAGTGTAAAGTTATTTGACTTGTTATTGGTTCAGCTGTACCCTGCGCGATCTGTTCTGTGTGTATCAGCAGAAACAAATCATGGAGGTTTATTATGATGCTGGATTCATAATCAGTCAGCCAGCTGGCTCGGTGTCACTTTAAACATGGAACTCTTTTCACTTTTGGTGTGTTTGTTGTGTCTGACATGCATGCAAATGATTGCACTCATGTGGCATTCTCATGAAATAAATTACAAGTTCTAAAGACAAATTTTATGAGAAACAGAAACGAGGTCTGTAGGTCAGGAGGGAATTTAAAATCCAGCAATGAAAACCTAAAACAAACAAATAAATAAATAAGACCCAACACAATCAGCTGACCGATAACCATATCTTTAACAAGCCTTAAATATGAACTCTATCCTAGCAAATATAGACACGAGCTGGATTCTTGGGCTTTACAGCCTTCTTACAAATAAATGTAAATGTTTTCTTGTAAAATATTACTGAAAGTATGTGAAGTCCTTCATGTTTGAGTTAAAAAATAACCTGGTCTATGATTTTAAAAATGTAAGTATTGGAGTGATGCGTCTTTGATGAGCTGGCAGACTCTGTGACATGCAGCAGAAAGGTGAGAGAGCAGGTAAAGACCATGGGCAGACGGTGTTTTGAAAAGTAAAAACACCAAAAGGCTGCATTCGAAGCTCTGTGAAGCAGCTGTGCACTGACCAAAAAATTTAATCAAAAAGAGAAAACACCTTAAAAAAGACAACCTGTTAAGCTCATTTTCAGCTCCATAGTTTTACTCTTGGACTCTAACAGCGTAGCTTTGCATGATTTACATTTATACCGAGCCCCGGTGGAGCCCCTTAGTTTATCTTCTGTCTGAAATAAGCTGTTGTAGCTCTTCTCCCTAAAAGGCCATGCTCTCTTTAGTCCTGATTTCTTTTGAATGGCTGCCGCTGGCAAACAGAAGATAAACATAAGCATTATCTCGATGGCTGAACACAAGCGCTTGTGTTTCCTGTTCTCCAGTGTGGCTGCGGGGATTTTTTATTTTTTTTTTCTCTTGCATCATTTCCACTTTAGAAGTCATAGTTTGATTGGTTCTAGGCCACAGGTGTGGGTTAAAATGCACCACATATCCTGAAACTGTGCCCACAGCATCAGGGAGCATCAGGAGCTAATGCTCCAACAAACTAACTTGGACGTGTGCCCTACGAATGAGGCCTTTCTATTTTATCTAGCTTTCTGTTTCACATGCAGTACAGGAGCTGCAAATAATTAATTATTAAAAATAAAATAACAATTATGCAAATGCATTTCAGCTGAACTTTAACAGAGAGCATCAGAAACACGAGAGCTGGAATGAGTTTTCATACAGCAGCGGTGACAATAACGCACTTTAAAAGAAGTTTAAATGCAGTCTGGCCCGCATGCATCTAACGGGGCAGGAAATTAATGCCACCATCCACCGCTGGTGCCTCACAAAGCTGCATTTACCAGATAAACCAAACCGTGATGATTCTCATTTCCTGCTGTTTATGGCATTGTGGTGCGTTACCATGAAATGAAACATATACTTGTAACAAGGATGCTAAACTGCAAAGACGAGCTTCTTTAGACGAGTGATTTCTCTCCAAGAAAAGCATGCAATCTCTCACTTATGAAATATTTTGTCAGTGCCGTGTCAGCTCATTCTCTTTTTTAATTGATCGCTTCAGTCATTTCCACCTGATGACTTTTAAGACTCGTTTATAACCTCTAACATTTTCAGCCTGATGGGTTTTATGTGTGCGTGCGAAGATGTAAGTCTGTCTTTGTGAGCGAGGACATATTTCCAGGACCTGAATTTGAAAGACGCTCTGAAAGGTTTATTTGAAGGTTCAGAATCAGGGTTAAATTAAGGGGTGAGGGAATGTAGCATCACAAAGATAGAAGTACAAATGTGTGAATGGGGTGTGTGTAGATGTGTGTTGTGAATGGGACGTATTGTATCCGGAAGACTGAGGCGGCATCTGAGGGGATGAACGTACTGACGAGTGTGAAGCACACACCAACACAAATAACCTGAGAGCTATGGAGACCCTGGGAGCGGAGAGCAGCAGCACGCACACACACACACACA